GCTAGAATATGCGCCCAGAATAACAGCAATCTATGCAATAGAAAGGACAATAATAAATCTACAATATTCACCGTCACTTAGAAAACGAAGATTAGGATGAAGTTCGTTTTGGGTATCCCGAGGACTGAGAATGGGAAGTGTTCACATTAATGAGTGGTGTTGCTAAACCTCACAGTTTCGAAGGCAATAAGGTCTCACTCTTTGTTGTTTAACTCAAAGGTCTTCACTGCTTGTTTCTGGTTCACTAAGAAGTTTCACCGGGTTGAACAGAACTGTGTGCGAGTCTGAGATGCATGGTATGCCATTAGGTGGTGGTGGTGGGGATTCTGTGCAAGGCTCTGCAAAAGGGATGGGTGGCGATGAAGTTGGTCGTTCTACGAGAGCAAGATGACGAAGAGATACTGTTTCTTCTCGTCCATTAGGGCGACGTATGTGAGCGTATTCGGGATTGCTCTTCAGTGGTACAACATCCTCGATCGTGGGGTCATACTTGGAAGAGCGGATGTTTCTTCGATATAGTACAGGACCACTGAGGCGGACTGGTGCCAACCGCAGATTTTCGATTGTGGAGAAATACGTTCGTGAGGCGTCGCGTTGATAGTCGTACAGGGTGGTGTTCTGATAGCATGGAGGGCATCAGGTAGCACCAACTCCCATTGATCAACCGCTAGATCCTTAGAACGGAGGCACAAGGATACGGTTTTCCATGTGGTTCCATTCAGCCTTTCAACCCAACCATTACCTAGCTCGTCGTCCTGCTAGTAGCTACTCCTCGGTTGTGGGGAATGTCTTCAATTCCTGAGACATAAAAAAGGCTCCTTGATCGGAGTGCAGATAATGCGGCAGGCCAAATTTGGAAAATAACTCAGTTAAACGAAAAATTGTAGTGAGAGCAGTCATGTTGGGACAGGGGAAGGCAAACGGAAAACGGGAATACTCAGCAATAATTGTCAAAATGTAGTGATTTTGGGTGGAAGAAGGAATCGATGCTTTGAAATCAGTGCTGAGGCGTTCAAAAGGTTGTGTAGCCTTAACAACAGAACTATTACATGCTCTGTGGAATTTGGGTTTAAGGCGTGCACAAACAGAACACTTGAGTTTTCACCTTGATACTATCGAAAGGGAAGGATAAGTTTTTCGTGCAGACAAAATGGCACAGACTGTCTTGAAGTCACTCCAGTTCATCGATTGAGTGGGTGCTTGCGCAGAACGCTCGTAATAAAGCATCGGCTGCAGGATTCTCCGAACCTGGACGGTATATCACATCATATGAGAATTGGGAAAGTTCGATACGCCAGCGTTGTATTCCGTCCTTGATTTTGCTGCTGACTTTCATGTCATACATGAAGGCGACGGAGCGTTGATCAGTAACCAGTTGGAAGTGGGCACCCGGTAGGTGGTGCCACCACTTTGGAATGGCTTCAATTATTGCGTAGGTTTCTTTTTCTACCGCAGAATGATTTCGCTCTGAGGGTGACAGGATGCGTGAAAAAAGCCACGGGGCGACCACTTTGATTGAGTGTAGCAGAGATTGCAATGCCAGGCATATGTTTCAAGTGCTACTGGTGTCTTTATCGACTGTAACCAGTGATACTTGAATTGGCTCGGGTTTTAATGATTTATAAAAGTAGAGCAGTTCATCGGGAAGAGGGAAGAATTTGTCAGTAATTAGCGGGCGAATCTTTTCCGAAAAATGAGAAAACCACGGGGAATAGTATGAGAACATTCCTACAACTGTCGCACCTTTATATTCGAGGGAGGGGGTAGTTTGAGAAGGGCGTCGAAGCGTTCAGGGTCCGGTTTGTCGCATCCTTTGGATATTTCGTAACCCAGCATTCGAACTACTTCAGAGGTGAATACACACTTGTTGTGATTTAGAGGTAAACCGTGTTTGGCAGCCACCTGCAGGAATCTCTTCAGATTGACGTTGTGGTCCGTGATTTCTTTCCCGCAGATGGTAATGTCTACATATACAAAGGTTCCTTTGAGTCCTTCACGCCGAACAAGCTCATCCATCGTGCGCTGAAAACAGGCGACGCCGTTGGTCACTCCAAGTCGAGTGCGGTGAAATCGATAAAGGTTATTACATGCCTTGAAAGCTGTATAGTGTCGTTCATTTTCCTTTATAAGCATTTGGTGATACGCACTCTTCCAGTCTAAAGTACTGTAAATACTGTATTCGGCATTTCCCCCCACCAATTCATCAATGCGGGGTAGCGGATAAGCATCTAAAAGGGTGAATTGGTTAATTGTCTGACTGTAATCGACTAGCCCGTCGTTTCGGGCGTTCATTGGTTGTGACCAGGACCTGGGACCGCCATGGTGATCGAGAAGGTTCGATCCAAAGGATGCGCCAAGCCGGACCCTGAACGCTTCGACGCCCTTCTCAAACTACCCCCTCCCTCGAATATAAAGGTGCGACAGTTGTAGGAATGTTCTCATACTATTCCCCGTGGTTTTCTCTCATGCCTCGTTTTTGGTCGATTAAATTGTAACGGAGTTGATCATATGATTGATGAGAACTTGTGGTGTAGCAGATCACACGTTTACTCGGCAGACAAGCCAGAAGACAACGCCTAATGATAGGCTTTAATCGGCCAAAAAAATGGGGCAAGCGAAATGCTAGAATATGCGCCCAGAATAACAGCAATCTATGCAATAGAAAGGACAATAATAAATCTGCAACACCATGATTTACTTGACACACAATCTTTCTTAAGACAAGTGTGGAATATAAAATAATAACTTTTCATTAAGTCTCTTTAACAAAATCTTTGCTGAATTTCCCTGTATTTCACGGAAGATTCCCATATGAATATCAAAAGCAAAACAGCGAACAAGCTTGTTTTCGTAATTTCAGGCCTTTACAGTTACATACAGTTAAATACGCACACATAACTGTAAAGGCCTGAAGACGAAGTTACGAAAACAAGCTTGTTCGCCTTACTGTTTCCCTGTATTTGTTTGTATATTTAGCGTATCATTATCCTTTTTACCATGCAATATCCACAGAAGGATAATAGTATAGTAGCTGAATGTTCATCCCCTGTGTGGCGAATTAAAGCCGCTTCTTGACTTGACTTGGTTTATCAAAAATTGTGCCCATTCTTCTCCTCACTGTACATGTCTAATATGATAGTTTTCAGTGACTGTCTTTGACTGAAATGTAAACAAGAGTTTATAGAAGTCATGCAATTACCAATATAAATTCTCCGCTGTTTTACGGTGTGATATCTCGGTTTCATTCCTCGTTCACCCCCCTCCCCCTCCTCGCCCGCATCGCGCTATAGATCCCGGATCCTTACAGATGGCTAGAGGACCCAGATTCATCCGAAACAGCGGCATTTGTTAAGGCACAAAATGAAGTAACCAAGAGTTTTATCGATCGTTGTCCCTATAAAGAGCGTATGCGAGACCGGTAAGTTTCTTCCGCTTGCCGGTTTGTTTATAATCAGACTGAAGGAAATTTGGAATTATGAACGGTTCTCATGTCCATTCAAATCCGGTCCCTATTACTATTTTTGGATGAATACCGGTCTTCAGAATCAAAGGTATGTGAAAAAGAAACAAACGACGAATTGTACTCACTCCCTGCAGTGTCCTTTATCGGCTGGAGGAGTTGAACGGCTCTCCTACTGTATTTCTCGATCCTAACCAAATCGACCCGGACGGCCTGACGTCTGTTCGTACGTATAACTTTTCCGAAGAAGGTCAATATTTTGCTTACGGTCTCAGCTATGGCGGATCTGATTGGTCCGAAGTGAAGGTAAAATCCAGAATGGTATTTCTTTTAAACAACTTCGGAAAATGTAGTTTAAACGCTGTGATTCTGGCGAGGCCTTACCTGACGTGTTGAAAAACGTCAAGTTTAGCAGCATCGAGTGGACACACGACGAAAAGGGTGTTTTCTACTGCATGTTCCGCGATCATCAAGGCAAAGCCGATGGGACTGAGACAACGTCCAATCAGAATCAAAAGCTCATGTATCATCGCTTAGGAACCGATCAATCGGAGGACATTCTGTGTTACGAACGTCCGGATCATCCGAATTGGTTGTTGTAAGTATTCTTGTTTGCTCAAACGAGCCGTTTTTGTACCTATCATCATTCTCGGTTGTGTTCCAGTCACTACCCACCACCATTATCATCAGTCTGTTTTCAATCTGCGGGTAACCTCCGAGTTGTGAATGTTTTCCCCCACTAGATTCGCCCCTTGCTTTGAATGTCTGGGTTGGAAGGGAGAACAGCAGTGTTACACAACACTGCATTTGGCGATAGCCTCTAGAAACGAATGAATTGGTCATCTGTACATGAACCTGATATGGAATAACTTATTTTTCGAAAACGGAAGACAAAAATTCCACGGGACATTAAGCAGTGCTGTGGGCCGAGTTGTTGACTGAAGACAATACAACTATTTACCGGTTACACTTTAACGTCTCGTATTCTGTTGGCTCATTCAACTTCTTCAAGCACAACAGCTTATTTAGATAGCGAATGTTTGGATTATTCCTTTCGGTTTTTCACAGGCACCAGACACAAACATTTCCACCGCATTTAAATGCATTCAAATAACGGGGAATTAACGATTTCCCAAGGAGTGAAATCCACACCCAATATCATCAACAGTGTCTCAAGATGATAACCGTCAACTGTGTAGCTCAGGGGGTAAGGGTTTGAAGTCCTAACCCGAAGGCGGTTCGAGTCCTGACAGGGACACTAAGCACGCGCTGATGACGAGTCCCCAAAAAACAGGACGGGAAACAGCTGTCCAGTGCTCTTTGTCGGTTATCACAAACATTTCCACCGCATTTAAACAACAGCTTATTATTCAGTTGAAAAGTACTTCACATGCCCCCAGTCACATTGATTACACGGTAAAGGTTCACAGGAGACACTAGGTCGTTATTTTTCGAACAGCAGCAGCAGCAGCAACAACACCAACAAAAATAAAAGTTGATTCGCTGTGCAGTGGGTTTTAAACGGTCTGAAATCCTTACCACTTATTTATCCTTAGAAGCTATTTGAGGGCTTGAAAGTTTCTCAAATAATTCATTTACGGAAACATGAGCGATAATCGTTAGACTGTGACGGTATACTGTAAAAAATAGCCGGAGAACATTAAAATAGGATAACGAAAGTTGATTGTCATAGATAAAGAGGAGAGCTGCATGCCAGTGTCTTAAGACGCAGCGCTGGTATTGTTTCCAACCCAAATGAAATACATTTGTTCGGTGCTATATGCGTTTATCACGTTACGGAATTTCTTTCCGTTTCACGAGTTGTTAACGATAGTATCATTATTTCCATTATTATTATTTCATCTTTTTCTGCGGTGTGTACGGTTCAGTGCTGCTGAAGTGTCCGTTTGCGGTCGATACGTTCTAGTTGGCGTCCAAGAGGGTTGCGAACCCAAGAATCAACTGTACTATTGTGATCTGGCCCAAACCGATTACAAGATCACAGGTGCGTAATATTTTTCCACTATCCGCTTATTTTTTGCACATTTGATTCGCTTTTGGTTTTTCTGTAATATCCCCCCCCCCGAAGACTGAAAAGCTGCACATTCAGTTCAGTTCAGTTTGAACAACCATACCCGGTCAAACCGATTCACAGAATACAACACGATACAATAGAGTACAGTACAGTACCCTCGCCTGGAAGAGAGTCGCCTATCAGTTGTGGCTGAGCTGGCTTCGAATAAAAAACGAACTTTATCTGTTCACTCGGGACATTTTCAGTGAAACGTTGCCATATTAGTCTGAGCGTACATAAACGTTGGAAGAGGGCATATATGTAGTTGTGCAATAGTGTGCAAAGTTCAGTTCTTACTATCGTTAACCATGCACTTTCGTGCGCCAGTTTTGGTTGCTGTCTTTTGTTTGCCCATTTGGATAAAACAGCAGAATGAAGATTAGAATGTTGAGAGCAAAATCAAGCGGAAGGTAGCGAATTTATATAGATTGATGTTACCAGAATAATGATTAAATGCATGAGCGCCACTGCTTGCGACACCCAGCCATATCGCTCAGAGTGTGTAACCATCGTTGACCATGATCCCGGGGTCCCCATCCAGGGAGTCTAACGGGACCTATATGACAGTTTCCTGCTTGGGGTTTTCATACCCTCATGCTAGGTCCTAGTTTTAACACCCTTGATCTTTTTCCAACCGCTACCTACCTCGGCAAACATCGCTCACCGTGGCAACCTATCTGCAGACGTGCGCAACGCATGCTCCAACCCACGCAATCTACGGAAGTCGACCACCGGCTCAAGTGGATAACCGTGTTTACCCAAACCTCTACAACTAACTTCAGCATTGCTCGCTCGATTGTCACAGCAGACTCGCTCAATAAGACGCAGACAGCGGTGTGTGAACACCGACAATCTATATCCCGTTCCCGAAATGGCCACGTCTCTGCACCGTGAAGCAGCACTGATCGAACTGATGCAGCATAAACTCGATCCTCCGCAGACGCACACCGAACATGGGTGGCTATACTAACACTCAAACTATCCAGAAAAGCGTAAAACCTACCTGGATCTTCACTTAGTAGCACAATGTCGCCTGTATACTTGAATCAGACAGTCTGCGACCCGGGAGTAAATCGATACTGCCATTCTGGCACGAGGATAGGGCTGTTTTTCAAGAATTTAATCTACGAAAAAGTTGAACAGAAACGGAGACAGAGGAAAACCCTGTCGAACACCACTTTCTGTAGTGAACTCGGATGAGAAAGTGCCGTAAGCTCACATTCGTCTGTGGATCTTATTGTACAGGGATTGTAAAACTGAAATAAACTTCTCGGGCACCTTTCAGGGAAAGCAGCGCCAGAGTTTAGAACGGTTGACTGAGTCGAAAGCCGCTTTAAGATCGAGCAATATGGAAATGGTGGGTCTACAAAAGGAGTGTCGGATTTAGAGTATGCAGGCGACATTGTGCTACTAAGTGAAGATCCAGGTAAGTTTTACGCTTTTCTGGATAGTTTGAGTGTTAGTATAGCCACCCATGTTCGGTATGCGTTTTGCACCTTCACTGTGTAAAATGTTCCTACAAGATTGGGTTGGTCCGGCCCCCAACCTCACCCTGAATGGGGAAGTAGACAAATCTTGCTATTTAGGTGGCTATATCTCATCTGCCGGACGCGTCACAGATGAAGTGTCGGCACGCATACAGAAGGCTTGATTGGCATTTGCCAACTTAAGACATCTGTGGCGCCGTCGCGACATCTGGCTGTCTGTGGAGGATCGAGTATATGCTGCATCAGTTCGATCAGTGCTGCTTCACGGTGCAGAGACGTGGCCATTTCGGGAACGGGATATAGATTGTCGGTGTTCACACACCGCTGTCTGCGTCTTATTGAGCGAGTCTGCTGTGACAATCGAGCGAGCAATGCTGAAGTTAGTTGTAGAGGTTTGGGTAAACACGGTTATCCACTTGAGCCGGTGGTCGACTTCCGTAGATTGCGTGGGTTGGGGCATGCGTTGCACATGTTATCAGGTACTTTGCCGAGGCAGTTTGCGGGTGAAAAAATGCCAAGGGTGTTCAAGCTAAAACCTGACATGAGAGTGTGAACAGTTCCACTAGGGGACTGGACCAACTCCTTGAATGGGGAGCTCGGGATCGTTGTAATCAATGCATAGAAATACTGAGAGATTTGCCTGACTGTCGTAAACGTCTCAGTTTCTTTATATCGTTATTTTGCTGGAATTCTTCGTATTCTCTTCGACACTACTTCCAACTTTCCCATCTTCCTGCTGCCTTTTCATCCAAATGAGCAACCAAAACTGCTGCACGAAAGTGCTTGGTAATGGTTGTACACACTGAACTTGGTAGGAGCAGTACCTCTGACTCGGAGGGCTGTCTGGCTTTTTGGGGCCTCCTCCTCCTCTCCATCAGGCCCTCAGCTCTCACCTGCGGCTCCAAGAGGCTGTTTAAATGCAACAGCCGCCACCCTGGTAAACCGCTCGTATAGCAAACCTAGTTGAGACTAAACGGGAGCTCAACTCTCGGCGAATCGGTGTCTAACGTCGTGTTGGGCGGACGAAGTCACTTTCACAACTCAACGGTCAAGGCAGTGACTCCGTACTCATCAGGGATCCATGGACTCCTGTTTAGCTAGAAACTGTCAATGGCGTATAAGTTCTCCCCCAGAGGGCCACCGGCAACCATGCGCTACCTTCTTACTGCCTTTTAGTTAGCATTTGGATGTGTCAAGGCTAAAGATGCCGGGTGACCCCGAGGGCGTTTCTTGTACCTAACCAACAGGAAATTTCATGAATATTATATCCATGAAGCTGGCTTATCCTCTTTCAGGAGACAGCCACCGTAAAGTAAGGTAAGATCTGCCGCTGTGCAGCGATCCTCTGTGGCTCGCTGGTTCTCCTCCCGCTCATTGACTGTGACCAAGCTCCATCCAGTGATCTTTAATTACTATCGCTTGATTCAACCTTTTTATCTAACTTATAGTAAGTGTCTGTAAATTCTTTGGATTGCTCATCTTGGAACTCCTTTTTTGTGTTGATAGGCCCATTGAAACNCCATCCAATTGTCAATGAGTTTGAGGCCGTGTTTGAGTATGTGACCAACGAGGGCTCCGTGTTTACATTACGGACCAATTTAAATGCACCAATGTACAAGCTAATCACTGTCGACCTGCAGAACGTAGACCGCGTAAGTTCGCACTACTTCTATTTTCTTTTGCTTCTCTCTGTTGCC